CACAGAAAAAGAGACACATAAACAGATATAGACACACACAGAGACAGAGTTGGACACTTATTTTCCTGACTTGTGTCATTTGCCAAGGAGAGGGCAGGCTACTTTGAAGACTCAACTCAATGTCCATTGGAGAGAGATAATTTTTTCAAAAAAATTTTGGTATATTATGAAAAGAATGAATTTCCAAAACTAAATATGTTTTCCTTTAAGTAAATATATTTATTCCAATTCACATTCAATATTTATGGATTGCCTACTCCATCCAGGGCAAGCAGTATACCAGGGCTTGAAGATACGCTGGTGGAAAGGCAGACAACCATCCTTCTCAGGAAGTGGTATTGTGGGGGAATGTACATTAAAGAGGTATTTGAAGACTCATATGGGTTCTTAATCTGTAAGTGTCAGGTCCTGCCAAATCCACAAGACTACCCTGCAGCAGGAGCCAGCACACACTGGTAGAAAGTGGAAGGGAAAGTAAAGAGGCAACACTGCAGGGGTGATGATACCTGGAAGCAGGCACTTAGCAAAGACGACTGGAGTAAAGCAAGCCCTGTTAAATATTACAGAGGGGTGAGCAATTGCAAACCAAAAGTTTAAGCACTTTCTGCAAATAGTAAAACCTACCAACCAACCTTCCTACAAAGAAAGCAGAATAGCACAGCATAAGCGTACGTCAGTTCAGGATCTGAAGTCATGCTGATAAGAAGCATTATCTGTAGCAGACTAGAACAGACCTCTAGGAGATTTTACCAGTTCATTTAACAGGAAGAATTTTGTTATAGGTCTGCACATAACATCTGTATTAGGGAAACTGGCACTGACAAACTTCTGTCCCTTATGGGTGACAATTGACCTAGAAGTTCTCTCCTCATGTTCTGATCTATTTAATGTTGATACTATTAGTAGCTATCGTATGTATATTATTAGGAATGCATGACAGAATGTGCTTAAATCCCTTAACGGAATACTTTATTCAATGAGAGCTAGGAATAGGTTAAAGGTTATTATCAGAACTTTACTCTATCACCTACAGTTTGTTAATTCTAATTATGTTTATATTAGCTACATAGTAACATATGTAATCTATAATCTCTCTCTATAACAGTAACATATACCATATATAATATATATTTTATCAAATAAAGAAACTCTCCAGTTATAGTCATTGCTAGATATTTATTCTATAAGCAACATTAGGACAGACAGAATACCTACTTACTCATTCCTCACTTTCTCTCCAGCACCCAAGGAAAGTATGTGGCATACATTTGTTGAATAACAAAAATGCTTTGGGTGAATTTCATCTGAATATAGCAATAAGGATTCCTGTGGTCAGCATCAAAAGATCAGTTATAGAATAGTAGGGAGACTATCACCTAGTTACCTGAGCAGTCTATTCCCGATTAAATTTAACAACACAAGGCCATTATCTCTCTAACATGTATCATTCTAGAAGCTTGAAGCTGCTCTTCCTATGTCCAGATTTGATGTCACCCCATATGTTTTACTAATATGTTTTTAAATAATTTTTTCTTGTATCTTATATTGATAGAAATATATAATTGTATGTGTAGGTTTATAAACAGACATATACATATATACACATATGTAGATATATGTCTGAGTGTGTGTGTGTTTGTATATACATAAGTCTCACAATGGGTCCATAAAAAATAAGCCAACCATTCACCATCTTGCTTTCCTTAAATCTTAGGCGATTCTCATGTGATACATCCAACAAATAACTAGAATGAGTCTTTGTGTGAATAAATGCAATACAATACAGGATATGCTCATTCAGAATGAGATAGTCTCTGCTAAAATTTATTCAATTTTTAAATTTTATACTTTTTAAAATATTGACTATTTAGAATCACATATACGTACTTCATATATCTATCACATATTTTGTTATTAGAAGTTTAAACTATAATAATGCCACCAGTAAAGTCCTAGATAGCTAACTTTTCCCCCCATGGTTTTTATGGGGGCCTCACTCTCTAATCAGGATTTTGAGCCCTTCAGTTGCTGAACTAGCAAACTGTTTGTAAGTTACATATGGTTCTAGCCAAAACTGCAGACTTTGCAAGACTTTCCAAGAATTTCAGAAATGGCACAAAAGAAAATATTAAGTGTATCCGGTAGTAAAGGTATGATGAGGAAGACACATTCAATGGCAGAGTAAATTTGTTCAGAAAAAGAGCAGCACAGGCAATCAAGATAACCAGTGTCACCACATTACCCTGAGAAAGGTATTGAAAATTCTGGCCTCCATCTTTGCTAGAGATAAACTCATCACTTCACAGCTCAAGCCTTCCAAAATAGAAAATGCTTGATTCTTACTCTCTCACAAATGGGTGAAATAACAAACCAAGTAAAGGAAAGCTTTTTCAATGGCCAGAAAAGCCACCTTCTACCGTCCCTCACCCCCTCCTCATAGAAATCCTTCAAACCAATCCATGTACTGTATGAAATGAGATGCATTAAATTTATTTCATACGGTCTCCATAATAGCTTTGGACCAAACAACGTAGCAAACTAATGAAAGTAACTTCTGACGCTGAAGCACTTCTTTCCATTTGGAAATATTGCAGCCAAGGAATTTAAAAATATATATATAGAAGGCAAATAATGTCATAAGAGAAGTGAATTGTAATTAAAATAGCATCCTGATGACGAAGAGGAAAGATGCGTGCCTGACTTTGCCAGAGCCTAGCCAGCAGGGGCCTTTTGGAAGTTGGAGACGATTGGATTGGCCAGAGTTCATTTTGTTGTGCATGGAGCTTCCTGTTGGCTGGCCTGACATAGGGTGTTATTAAGCCATTTGGGCTGGAACATCATTATTCTCCATGAAGAATTTAAAGAAGATCTTGACTTGAGCCTATTGCAAGAGGAACCATGCTGTGCCATGCAGTATAAAAATATCATCAGTCTTATGCCACTGGCACATTCAAACACCTAGTGGGATGAGCCAGGCACCAATGTTCAAGGTTTTATATAAGGTAACAGCTGCTTTGGTCAGACAGTTAATTAAATATGTTAATTTCCCATACAACCAACAGTAGCGACAACAGATCAAAGAGGGATTTTATGACATTTCTGGGTTCCCTCCTATGCCCAGGAGGATGGATTGTGCCCACATCATCTCCCAGTCTCCTTTGTGGAGTAACGCTGCTTTTCCCCTTTGGAAACAGCCTTGTTCTATGACACTGCAAATATTGCACATACTTTGGTACCACACTAACCATTGCCAATTGTCACCACTCCAGTCTTGAAAGGCTATTTGGGTCTGATCCCATGCTAGTGTTTGGTTAGTCAGTAAATATCACAAATCATGCTGAAGGTGGGGAATGGGCTGTTTTTCCATTTGTGTCATTCTGGCCTGGCATTTATGTTTTATTTTTGTGGAACTGATAGAGCACAGATTATAAATCACATAAGAGTAATGGCTAGATGCCACCCTAGGTATGAGGAAGCAGCAAAAGATCGAGGAGATGGTGTTATCAGTTAATTACATGGAGTGCCCCAAACTGAGAGCACATTGTTTAAAGATACTATGCAAATGTGCTTTCTGGCAGTATGTGGCACTATGAAAGGAAGAAAATGTCTCAGTTTATGAAAAGAAGTAATCATACTATTTAAGAGTTCTAAATGTAACAATGACATGGAACTATGGAACCATCTAGAATACTTCTGTATTAGACATGAATCTTCAAAGATTGCTGGGGAGATTATATTCACATTGTGACAATGCTACAGCTTTCATGCACCTAAGTGAAAGATTGAGAGAACTGCTATTGAAGATCAGCTGGAGCAGGTAAGGCTTTGCACTACTGGCATTTGGGCAGAAATATTTATTAGCCTACAGGTTTCTCAAGGAACTTCAAAACGCTCATGGTTGTTGATTTGGGAAGCAGATTACTTATATTTTCACGCCTGGTGTTACGTTTTTGAGAGGTATGGTTTTTGTATAGCACGGACCTTGTCCTTATTGCTTAAAAGTATCTACATATCTACACATATCATTAAATCTAAATGTACAGTGATAAGGTAGGAAAGGCTAACAAATCAGGGTTTCTGTCATAGTTGCCAGCATGCCGGTTTTCTGATTTGTGAAATGAGGGGCTTGAGAAAAAAGAAAAAACCAACATGGAGATGACATCCTGGTCTGAGTTTCTATTTGAGAAAACGTAATAAAATCATAAGAGTTTGACCTATCCCCAACCAGCTGGTGACTTTGAGCAATTTAATGACTCTGAATCTCCAAAATACTGTATATCTAAGGACATGATAAATGTGAATGAATGAATTACAAGGTGATATAAAATATTACTTATAATGAGATTCTGTTTTAGATATAGTTCATTCTTTCCATAAAGAATATGATTTTAGGGGCACCTGGGTGGCTTAGTCGGTTAAGCGTCCGACTTTCGCTTAGGTCATGATCTCACGGTTCGTGGGTTCAAGCCCCGCGTCGGGCTCTGTGCTGACTGCCAGCTCAGAGCCTGGAGCCTATTTCAGAGTCTGTATCTCCCTCTCTCTCTGACCCTCCCTGCTCACGCTGTCTCTCTCTCTCCTAGAAATAAATAAAACATTAAAAATTTTTAAAAAAGTATATGATTTTATTTTAAAAATCTCAGAACGATGATATTGGCATAATTTAATCCAAACCCAAAGGCCTGAGAATCAGAAGCTCTGATGTCCAAGGTCAGGAAATGATGGGCATCTTGGCTGAAGAAGACAGAGACAATTTACCTTTCATATTCTTGCTCTACTTGAGTCCTACTGGATTAGATGACAGCCCACATGGGTGAGGGCAGATCGTTTTACTCTGTCTATTGTATCCAATGCCAAGCTCTTCCAGAAACACCCACACAGACATAACCATGAATAATGTTTTACTACCTATCTGTGCATTCTTTGCCTATTAAACACAAAATTAGCCATCCTAAATGACTATTAATGTCTCTTCCTTTTCCTAAGGTCATCAAGGGGATCATGGAGAATTCTAGTAGAAGAGAGCATCATCAACACCACAGGGCTAATGAAAACTTCTAGGGTACATGAGGAGAGAAGTTTAATATCTGTTTGTTTGTTTAATTTCAAATCTGTAGGTCCGGGGTGGGTTTTTCCTCAGGGAACAATTGTGTCCTATTCATAGATTCTAACTATGACTACAGAATACAAAATATCTTTCTGGTTGAGAGAGGAAGAAAGGAGTGATTCTTAAAATTACAGAATCAGGATTGTCAAGTTCAAGTTAATTGTCAAGCCTATTAAATATATGGCTTATACACTATTAGGAAAAATAGTGATGATTGATATAAAACCATCCACTCATTCTTGAATGGGTAGCTGGAGGATGGGAAGGCCATACAGCTAAGTTTTCTGGCCTATGTTGGTGTATTAGTCAGGGGACTCTAGAGAAGCCAAATATATATATATATATATATATATATATATATATAATTATATAATGGATTATAGATTATAATATAATATATTCTACATGATATATAATATATCATACATTATATTATATATAATATATTCTACATGATATATAATATATCATACATTATATTATATATAATATAAATATAATACAATATATATATTTAAAATAAAGAGATTTATTATAAGGCAAAGGGTCATATAATTATGGAGGCCAAAAAATCCCATGGCCTGCTGTCTACAAACTGGAGCAGGAAAGCTGCTGGTATAGTTCAAAGGCCTGAGAGCAAGAGAGCCAATGACAGATTTCAATCCAGGTCTGAAAGCCTAAGACCAAGAGCACCAAGAGCAGGAGAAGATCAATGTCCCAGCTCATTATTCAGGCACAGTTCATTCAAACTTCATCTGCCTTTCTATTCTATTCAGGCACTTAACAGATTGCAGGATACCCACCTTCTTGGGGAGAACCATCTGCTTTACTCAGTCTACCAATTCAAATGTTAATCTCTATGGAAACCCCTTCACAGGCACAGAAGTGTTTAACCATTATCTGGGCATCCCATGGCCCAGACAAGTTGACAGTAAAATTAACCATCACAGTTGGACAGAGAGATCCAAGGCATGATGATCCAACAGAGCAAAGTGTGGGATTACGAGGTCATGACGAGGTAACCCATGCAAACATACCAAAGAAAATGATGATTAAAAGTGGCAAAAATTCCAAAGAGCCAAAGCATGGGATTTATGTTCATGAGGAAGAATTTGTACAGGGTTGAGATGTTTCCTCAGACTTTTATGTGGGGCCTGTTCTCTTGAGTGTAGGTCTCCAAGAAGAGGGCTGCAAGATCAGATTCACTCTTGTATGTTTACTAACAAAGTTTCATGATCCATTCACCTCATTTGCATTTTGACATACTGTTAGGAAAATGCCACAGTTTCCTTGCTTTCTATCTGACATTACATACTATCTCAAGGAATTGAAATTAACATCATATAATTTCTATATGACGTTATATATATCATATAGAATCATGTTTCCATATAATTTATATATATATATATCCACACATATATATACTTATATATGGTTTCTGTATATAACTTATTGTGTTTCTATATAACACTTATATGGAAAATATTTGAAGTGAGTAAGGTCTGAATTAAAGTGCAGTCATTTCCCTATCCCTCCCCTCCTTCCCTTTTTTTAATCTACTTTCACCACAAATTTTTTTTTAAGTTAATAAGTAGCTGGCACTGGTCTAAATACTTTAGATATATTATCTCTGACAAACTTTGTACTAATAAGGAAATTTACTGTCCTTAGAGGGGAAAAATATTTCATTGATGAAGAACCTCAGAGGTACAGGTGTAAAGTAACTTGTCCAAGGTCTCTTAGCCAGGGAGTGACTGAAGATTCCAACCAACAATTATTTCATTTCTTAACCAATATCCTTAACATTTTACCTCACAATTTCCAAAGGCTGAAGCTGGAGAACTCAGCAAGAAGTAGCTGGTAGAAAGTGGATAAAATAATTATTACCAAATGAGAATGGAACCTTAGGTTCAATTAACCTAACAGTCTCATATTGTTCTTATGGAGGAAAGGAAATATAGATCAGGGGGTTTGGAGAACAAGCAAACCAAAGAGAAGAGGGTAATGGACTTGGAATGAGGTCTCTAGTGAGTGGCTAAAGAACTCGTTCTTTCATCCCGATTTATTTCTTAAAAAAAAAAAAAAAAGATGATTAGTTACATTTTCCTAATTTGGTTTGATCCCTACAGAAACTCTATTATATAGTGAGGGTGACGTTATAATCTCAAGTTTATGGATAAAAACCTAAGATTTTAATTACAAAATTATCTTGAAATGGCATAACTAGCATATCTAAACACAAATGTTTATCTGTTTTTTTTTTATTTGCTTCTAACTGCAAATGCAGTGTTCTTTCTAACCACATTACCCCTATGAGAGAACACCTGGTTACCAAATGCATATGTAACAAATACTAAAAAAAGTTGGATAAATTAATGATTATCTTAAAAGTGCTAAACTCAAGTTAGAAACAAAGGAAAGGAATTGCATTGCAATACATATAAATGTAAAAGTCACATATAGACTTAAAAGAAGACACTGTACTGGGAATCGAGGGAATTTCCCTGTCACAAGCTTGCTGTGGATCAACAGTATAATAGAATCATTCAGAATTTAGGAGAAATACTTCATTCTGGGGAATGAGAGTGACAACTTTGTGTTTTCTGCATTGGTCGAAACAAATCAGAGTTTTTAGTTCACTATGTTGTAGGTCATTGAAGAGAAATATTGGCAAGTAGAAGTCCAGGGGAGGTGACTAAGTAGTGAGGCCAAGTCAGGGAACAGATGGGTCTCTTGGGTGAGGCAACTAAGGGCATGGCCTCAGACCACATGTAGAGTTCTGAGGGTCCCCAAATTAGCATTCTCTTTAATCCTCCTAACACTCTTGAATAGTAGGAACTAGACTTATTCCTATTTTGCAGATGAGGAGACTGAAAAGTGACCATTTCAATAGTCAGTGTAGAAAATAGTTCTTTTGCCATGACAGAATTTAAGGATGCACTTGAAAAAGTATGCAATTATGCCAGAGAAATCCTAAAATCACCTAGGTGCTATATTTACTTGCCTTGATGTTTTCTTATTATTCTCTGTGCTCTTGGGTCTCAAAATTCAACTGGAGTTAAAGAAGTTTATTTACCTTAGTTAGCATAAACATTAATAGAGATATTAATATAAATACATAATATATAATACATATATTTTATAAAATGTAGATAACTATAAATTTAAGTTGTGTTCTCAGTTAACCTAACAATTTAGGTCATGAAATTTTGAAAATTTATATTTCAGCACCTTCATAAAGTATCTTTTTGTTTCATTACTTGAATACCTGAATCCTTTCTCAGCTATTACTGTTCCCATTTTTTCCAACTTTTGATTACTTTAGAAAAATTGAACGATCCGGTAAACAAAAATAAATTTCAAATAAGATTTTCTCACTGCCCTGACACCAATTCTGACACCAACGACAATTGAATTCAATTCTGGCACTAACTACGTGCCCCGATTCCGCAAGTTAGAGGCCAAGTTCTTCCAAAGACTGCATTCAACTTAGATACCATGTAAGATGCCACAAGTCTTAGGTACCACTTCTGACTGACCAACTATAAATTGTGTTCCTATGATCCCCTCTGGTTAGATCATTCTCAAGAATTCAGAGAACTCACCAAAAGCATTATACAGAAGATTACAGTTTCATTATTAAAGCTATAGATTTGGAACAACCAACCAGAGAGCTGCATAGGGCAAGGTCTTAGGTGGGGGAATTCAGAATCCAGACATATCACCTTCCCAGCACAACAATGTGTTTACCAATCAGGAGGCGCCAGCATGTTCATGGTCCAGAGTTTTTATTGGGTTCCATCACTTAGGCATGATTAAATCACTGACCATGTAATTGAACTCAATCTCCAGTCTTCCTCCTCTCTCCATCTGAAAGCAAGGCTGGTTCAAAGTTCTAACCCTCTAATCACAAGACTGGTCTTTTTGGTGAAAGGCTCCTCCTATCCTGAAACTATCTTGAGGCTCCCATGAGTCACCACATTGGCGTAACAGAGACACTCTATCACTCAGGAAATTCCAAGGATTTCTGAAGCTTTGTTCCAGGAACCAGGAACAAAAACAAGATATATTCTGTACTTTGTTATTTATCTATCCATCTGCCTATCCATCCAGTGGTCTATAATTTAAGCAGTTTAATGTTGTTTACTATAAAAATGGAAGAGCCTTTTTATACAACCATATTTAAACTTCAAGGAAATATTTAATAGATTTAGATCAGTTATTTAATTTGTTTTAATCTTCATTTAGTTTTGAGAGAGAGAGAGAAAGAGAGACAGACAGACAGACAGAGCATGAGCAGGGGAGGGGCAAAGAGAGAGTGTGAGATACAGAATTGGAAGCAGGCTCTAGTCTCTGAGTGGTCAGTACAGAGCCTGATGGACACAGGGCGCAGACCCATGAACTATGAAGTCAGGACCTGAGCCTAAGTCAGACACTCAACCCACTGAGGCACCCAGGTGCCCCACAGATCAGTTATTTTTAAACACAGGAAAATTCCAGTTTAAAAAAAATGTTGTCCCTTTGCTGATCATTAACCAAGAAATTAAGGGCTAGCTTTTTTTGCTTAGGCATGGCCAGGGTGATTCTGAGGACTCCCCATGCCTTGCATCCCTTAGAAGTTGTTATCCTAGGTTAAGGACTAATGCCCACATTGGAGTAAATCTAAGTTGCATGGAGGGAATTTGGAATTTCTTTCCCAACTTTATTGCAAATTAAGCACTGGCTTTAAGCTTTCTCTTTACCATAAACCATTTTAATATGATATTTTAATTAAGTACCTCTGTTTAACCAACAACTCAATCTGATGCTTTTCAAGAGGATTCTTTTTTTTTTTTTTATCTAAATATATCTCTAGGACAAAAAGTACATTATCATTTATGTCAGGAAGTGACATGATCTTCGTACTTGTTAATCCATAAATAAGGATATGTCTATCACAGGCAGAGAAAATGAAGGGGCGGGGAAAGAAACAATGCAGAGCAGCAGGGTTTTAGTGTGTGTCTAGCAGAGCATGAGAAAATGAGGATGATGCTGGTTTAGCTTTCACTCTATTCATCACTGAAGTCGTGAGAATAATATTACGCATATTGTGGTTCCTTAAGTCAATACAATGTGCGTGCACTTGTATCGTGGTTTACCACGATTTTGTGGTTACGTTTATACGAACTTTGGAATAATTCTGAGGCCTAAAGGGAACGAAGTCCTGCAAATCCTGTTAGATGGGCTGGAGACTAAAGGCACACTCAGGTGTTGATGCAGATGCTGGAATGGCAGGCAGGGAGGGGAGGATTACCGCTGTCTGCTCCTTGTCCCTGAAATGACATATCTTCCCCCCGCCCCCGCTGCTGCTGGGGAAAAACAGACTCTCTGGTATTTTGACAAGGAAGAGTTTATAAACACTCGAGAAAACTTGGACCTTTGGCAAAGGAGAGATTATGAGAGGCGGGGAGGACAGAGTCGAACCAAGAATATCTGGGTGAAAAGAAGTCACTGCTAAGCCACAGTGCAGACAAGTCTAATGATAGGAGTTTTAGCTGCAGAGAAAGCAGAGTAGCAGGTTAGGGCCATCTTTTACTTGTTCTTGTTATCATGGCATTGAAAAAAGCAAAGTTCTAATAACAATCATTCGGAATAATTTCTAATTAAGTTGAGACATTGAAGAAGAAAGACTTAAAGGTAGAACTTTGTATCTTGGGAGTAAAAAATGTTCCTAACCACAGAATCGGCTTGAGTGATTTAAGCTACCCACCTGGCTGTAGAATTTCTGTAGCTGTTCCTCATGGAGAGGAAGGAAGAGGAACGCAGAGGTCTAAGAGGGCTCTGTTTGAGCCTCAAGGAAGGTTACAAAGGGGCAAAGCTACCTTGGCAACACGTGCAGGATCTTCTATTGACAAGTTCTCATTTAATTTGCTGCATATCCTTCTGTGTCGCCTAGCTACTGTAAAGGATTCATTATTCATTAAATAAGTGATGAATATATACAAAAATTGCAGCCACATGGGCTGCACAAACGCATTTTCATATTATTAACGTGTTGCCAACTTGCAACTCTTCGAAGTCTGAGTAAATGTTTTGACAAGAGGAGACAGTAAGGGCAAATAAGAAGTAGCGGTCTTGAAGAGATTCAGCCCCACTTCTAACAGCTTTAAAGTCTTAAGAGTGTTTTCACTGGGGCAGTACCAGATAAATTGCTCTTATATGTGCATGCAAGAGGCTAAAATTCCTTTGAAAGTTTATAATTTCTCATGGGAAAACACAACATAAAAGTTACTTTTACTCATAGAAAAACAAAACCATATTTTCCTGTCAACCTTTGCTGTTGGGAATTTCAAACTTTTTACATTTTTTTCCTGTGATTCTTAGCTGGCCCAAGGGACAGGCGTTTACAACATAATTTACTTTCAACGTGTCTCTGTAAATCATTGTAATACTCTCTATTGCCTGTGGAGAGGTGGGGGAGAAAAGCTCCCAATGGGGCTTCTTGTCCCACTTTCCCTGGACTCTGACCGCCCAAATATGAACAGAAACTTTCCCGTTTAATGTCCAGCCTCAAAGACAAATACACGCAAAATCATACAATGAGTACAGGTAAAGATAGAACTACGGGCAGATATCCAGGAAAAAGATCATATTTTAAGATTAATTAGGAGAGGGGAGATTTGCCCTAGGTGACCTGGAAATTGTAGAAATGCTCAAGTCATTTTAGAGTAGGTGGGTTGCCCTCAGCCAAATGACTTAAAATCTTTTTTTCCTAAAATCCTCAGGACCTGTAGTGTGCTCTTGCCAAGCTGTTAATATCAAGGATCATTCAATTTTACATGAGAATTTGATGACTTAGACACTGGTTGAACCTTCACCTTTTACAACCTTAATGGGAATTTATTAGCTATTTCACAGTGTGTAAATTTGAATCTAGGTCAGATGAGGAGGAAAAATAGGGCATATCTAGGCCTAAAGAGTAACCTGAAAAATAATAGATCAGAGCAAAAAAAAAAAAAAAAAAAGAAAGAAAAGAAAAAGATAAAGGTGCAAAATTAAACAGATGATTAAAAGTATCTTAAGCAAGCAGAGGTTTGAAGACAGAACCTAATAAATTAGGATTTTATGAAGACCATTTGAGCCAAATTCACGTGACCAGTGAGCTTGATTCTTACACAAGTGTTGCAGATGAAGGAGATAAAATATTGTATTAACCTGCTTCTGCTAACTGTCCATAACAGGAAGTGTAACCCAGGTGGGTTTGATATTCATAAGATTAAAGCGTATGTCTACCATCAAATGACCACCACATTAAAGCTGTTTTAATGAGGACTTGGAAAGATAATGAATGAACGTCGCTAATTCACCACAGAGGAGACAGGCTGACCTCCTTCCGACCTCTTTGCCGCCAGGTATCTTAAACAACATATCAGTTCTGCTTCAAGCCAAAATGGGATGGTCCATAAGATAAAAACAAGCCAAATGTTTAAGAGAATGACTTTTGCCGCTGTTAAAGCCAGAAAAAAATTTCTCCCTGGAGTCCTTATAAAAAGAACACTGTGTAACAGGATGAAAATCATCCTCACTGACACCTTTATCTCAGGCAGAGCCCTCAGCTACATCGGGCTATTTCCTATAGCGCCCCTCAACACTGTTCAGTGACATCATGCCAGGAAAATACCACTAGGTACAGGCGTGGGTGGAGAACTATTATTGAAGGATCTAACTCTCTGCTGGTTTAACTTAATCCTGAGTAAATTTTAGAGGATTTAGAGGGACTGCTTATCTCTCAGGTAAGCCTTCATAAATATCAAGCATTTGATAGATTTACAACAGCAGTGTATTAGAGATTGTACTTGCTGGAAAATACTGAGGGCACAGCCAATTTATTGTAATTCCAGTTGTTTTTCCAGGCAGCAAGAGTAGGGAGTAGGTCTGTGGAGGAACTGAGGACCTAGTGACAGCTTTTCCCAAATAAAAGACAACTTGCCTTCTGCTAAGAGATAAACCAAAGGATAGCTATGGTTAGAGGAAAAGAGACAGACTGGAAGAGATTCTAGAGCCTATTTTGGTCATTGAGCAAAAAAACCGTCAAATAAGGTAAAGTGAATGCAAGTATGAATTCACTTTAAGACTTGACTAATGAAGATACAGTGAGTCAGTACCTTACATTACAATTGTTTCAATTTTTTTTTTCCTGGAAGAAAACAAACATGTTGGATGGAGCTGGAGTTTACATGAGCCTTGCATTGGACTAATTTTTTCCTAAATAAACTTATCAAGAAAGTCTACAGCTGCCTTCAAGGAATAGTGTGGTTCATCTATATGTGCACATCCTCAGTTTTTTAAGGAGCTCTTTAGTTCCAAATACTGAAGCAAATTTAAGCAAAAGGGGAAAATCCTCAAAATTATTTTCCAGGCCAGATTTATTTTGGCAGTCACATTCAGGAAACTATGTAGTGTACCAAGTTTTGAGTATTGTATTTGGACACTAATCCATAACTGTAGTCATCAGTTTACTGACAACCATCTGCTTGGACACTACTCCCACATTTTAATAAGTAACGTTAAATTAAAATGGCAACAGACAATTTTGGCTGCAAAAGTAAAAGTGGTGATAGCACCCTTGAACTCATATAAAGAATTGGGAATCAAACAGCAGTGCTATACATAATTATCCAAACACATTTAGGTAAAGAGTATGATCTTTTTCTATTTTTTCCCATTACAACCAAGATTCTTAAAAGAATGATCTGTATTCATCCTCGTGTCTTAATCTGTCACTTTGCTACCCACAGCAACCTTGCTTTTCCAGAACATTCCATTGAGTGCCAGCTGTCAACTCAAACTAAATTTCCTGTCATGATCTTACTTTACCTGAGCCATTCCGTGTCATAGAGGTAAAAATGCGGCTTAATAAATGTTGAAAACTCTCTTAACTCTGGCATTTTCTTGCCCAGCTACCACATATATCTTAATGACTCCCCAATAGCTACATTTAGGTTTGACCTCTTGTAGGAAGTATAGACCTACATATTCAATGACCTACAAGACATTTTTAAAATAAATGTTTCACAGATATAGTCAAATAAAAATGTTTAAAACCAACAGACCACCCACTTCTATACAACATTTACCAAACCTGCCCTTCTATTTAGTTCTGTCAGAATCTCAAGGAGAAGAATCACCATCTATCCCATTACCCAAGCCAAAAACCTACAGACATTGTTGATTTATCCCTTCTTTTTCAAAAACCAATTAGTCACAACATCCTGCCCATTAGGTTACAAGTGACTAAGAATACAATATAAATCTGTTTAAAAAATAAAAAGAACAAAAGATCGTTGGCTCATTTACCTGGAAAGTTGAGTCTTAAACAGCTTTATGGTGGAATTCTTGGGCCTTCTTAGTAGTCTTTCCATCTCTGAGCTTTGCTTCTCTCTGTATTGTTTCCATTGCTGGTAGGCTCCCCAAATTAGAGGGGCCAGATGGCTGCTGACATCTCTACACTCAGCCCATCCCCTTAACAATTCCAGCTAAAAAAAAGTGTCCCTTCTTCAAAGGTTCAGTCAAAAATGTCAGAGAATGTATTCTCAGGATCTCTCTTCAGACTGAATTGGAGATAGCACTTATCTCTGATCTAACAGCGTGGGTAGGAGGAAGCAGAATCTGATTGGCTAGTATGACTTAGGCACCCACACCTGGAATAAAGGAGCGGTCAGAACCACGTAAGGCACAAGACTGAGAAAAGCACAACAATTAGGGTGCTTAACAACTGAGGGAAGTGAGTGCTAGCAGAATATTCCAAGAATATGTGTTTTCTTCTTTTTTCCAAAACACAAGCAAAATATAGAAAAATAAAAATAAAGGTGTGAGTGTGTTAAACTTTAACCTTGATATAATGTTAACTATACAGTAGGAATCTGTGAAAAGCAGTCATATTTTGGACATCATCTGAGTTCCCTTAGAAAGCTCCTGTCTGTATTTATCTCCTGAACATGCAGCGATTTTTATGTAGAGCAAGATATATTGGTTTTACTCCTTTAACATGATTTATGGATTTTAAAAATGGATAATTAATTTATATTTTTCTAACTTAAATAGTAGAATACCAGTTCATGAGAGAAACTGAAGTAAGAGTAAAAGGTGCTTTTTAGTTTGAGGAAAAAATACAGGAATGACTTAAATCATGGCCATTAAGTACATGAAGATTTTTCATACTAATTTTACTTACCAGCTGTTCCTTGCCACTGCAAACTAAACAAAGAGGAAAGCTAAGTTTCCAGAAAAAGGATTTAGATTAGGCACAAGGAGTCTGATGTTTCTATGCACACTGAATGCATCTGTAGCAAGAGCAGACCCTCAGGTAGCTGTGACAAGGAGTCATGCTTGGCCTACTGCAATAACATAATGATGGCTTCAGACACCACACTCTTCTCTGATCGCTTCTGATTAAGGAAGTAAAAAAGTTCTGAGCTGGGTGCTAACATGCAATCACCAGGGGAAGGAAGTTATGCCTTTCTCTTCTACTACATTTCTATTAAGCTGCGAAAGATGTTATCTGCCCAGATTGGTTGGTACCAGAATGTTTTCATGATTCAGGAACTGGAATCACTTAAAAGGCTTAATAAAACATGAAGGGCTAGGCCCCATTGGCAGATTCTGAGTCAGTCAGTCTAGGACAGAATTGGGAATTTTTACTTCTAAAAATTTCTAGGGGCTCCTGGGTGGCTCAGTCAGTTGAGCGTTCAACTCTTGATTTTGGCTCAGGTCATGATCCCAAGGTCACGGGATTGAGCCCAATGTTGGGCTTCCGCACTGCGTATGGAGTCTGCTCGGGATTCTCTGTCTCTGGCATGTATGATATGTGCACACTCTCTCTCTCTAAAAAAAATTAAACTAAATTTAAAAAGTTTCCAAGCAATTCTGAAACTGCTTCAGGCATCCCATTTTGAAAATTATTAGCTTCAACATTGCCTTGTTGTGGCAAAAAACAAAAACAACAAAACAAAACAAAAAAACCGACAGACTTTGGGGATTCTTTTAAAACTAGGTGATTCTGAAATGCAAGTGCCCAAGTAGTTCCCTATACTTAATGAATTCATTGTAAGCCTCTATGCATAGTATTTTTTAAGAATATGTTTTATCAAATTGGGGCCATTTAGAAGAGTTTTCACAATTTTTCTTCAAGTTTTAGGAGACTAGAAATCTTACTTCTAGAGAAATCTAACTTGTGGATTTCCCCCCAGATTTTTCTCTCTCTGAGCTCCACCCTTTCCCTGACGTGTCTCCAGGCAACATACCTCCTCTCCCGAAAAACAACAGACTTTCAGAGAATGGGGCCTGGGTTTTTATATTTTTACAAGACCTAACACTCAGTGAAAATGAAGTATATGACTGGCCTACTATCTTCCCACTGGGGCCTTGTGGCTCGGCATAATATATCCAGCAGCAGTATTACACATAGATTCAAAAGTGCAACGTCTCAGGCAAGGTAGATGGGATATGGGTAGATGAGTACCCACAGCAGATGGGTACTTTAGAGAGCTCTAAGTTTTCTGAAAAATGGTTCTAGTTGTGAGGAAGACACTACAATCAGGATATAATACAGAGAATCTGAGTATAATTGTTTCATGACTTGTGAGCATGGGATAAAAACCATATTTCTAAATGGAAATTTGATTTAAAAAGGTGATTTTATTAAATATGCATGAAAAATAAAATTATAAACAAATTAGAAATCACGAAGAGAAAAACGATTCTTTAAATGAACTCTTTTTCTCTTAGATCAACTGTCTCCTGAATGAACTACTCAAGAACTTATAAACTACTCAAAAGAGGTCTGAAGCTCCAAGACATGTCCATAGTATACTTTCCCATTGGGTTTGAGAAAAAGTGGGACTCCTTCTGCTTTAAGTGGGTAAAATTCTTCCCTTACTCTTTTTGTCTGATGTGCAGGATCAGATCTTTGCCAAAGATACAGAAAGGAGAACTTTGAGTGACTTAACCCAATGTTTGCTTGTCCTCACCTCCCTCAACCTTGGAGATCTTAAGGTTTCAGTTTATTGATAACACTTTAACGTTAACAGAGAAGTCTCCCGTCAGTCGGCAACTAGCTTAATAAACTAGCAGAAAATGATGTCCCACCAACCATGTTATGTATGAGGAAATTAGGGCTGTGAGAAAAATCCAAGATAATGCATGTAAAGCTCTCACTGTAGGATCTGGCCCATAAGAAGCTGCTATAGTACCTCTTCAGGAATGTATACAGATTGGACATTTAAACAGTCCACAGTGATAAGTTCTATAACAGAATTAGGTCTGAGAGCAATGGAACAGTGAAGAGAGTAATCACCTCAGTGTGGAGAGGCTACAGAGAGTTTCTCAGAAGATGGGACCCTTAAATCCTATGTGGGAGTTCAGTACATGGACCAATCCTCACATTTATTGAATGGATGCATAAGAACACAGATGATTTCACCATGAAATTCAGATAACATGAGACCTCATTCAGATGAGATATAAATATATTTGATCAGAACTCCTTTTTTTCTCCTTTCCAGTTGAATTATAGTGTGTATTTAGTGGTTCTCAAAGCTTATGATTCATAAAAATAATAGAAGAGCTGCTAGTAAACTCAAACACTAGATACTTTGGAAGTTCTGATTCCATTTCACAGATAGAAAAGAGGGTGGGGGAGAGTAGCAAAGGGGTCTATGGTTTTAAAAGTCTCTCAGGTGTTTCTGGTTATTGGAAAGGACTGGAAACCATTGGTTTAATACAGCTGTTCTCCTCACTGACTGAACACGGGAATCACCTGAGGCATTTTAAAAACTATCCAAACCTAAGCCCTGCCCTAGTCATCCGTATTTCATTTTGTGAGTTCTCCAGGTAATTGTAGTGTGCAGCCAAAGCTGAGGACCACTAGTCGAAGCATTTGGGTGTACTGCATTTAGCAAAAAGCTGGTGGGCAGGGGGATGGAGGGAGTTAAAAAAAAAGTTACACTTAACAAGCACTGTTATGGAGGTTTTATTATGAATTACAAGTACTTTGAATCTGCTTTTGTTATTATTGTCTTACTCTCTTCTCAACTCCCAAATCTTGTAAAGACATAGGGGAAGGTAGATATTAATTCTGATGCTAGTTTCCACCGAGCAATTCAGCAGTGCTTGTAGCTTGCAGTGAGAAGAAATGAGGACACATTCTTCATAGTATCCCAGGCTGAAAGGAAGTATAGTCTCTGTTCTTTGATAAGAAATAGTACAGTTTACAAAGTTCTTTTACCCTGTAAATAATAGTGTGTGGGCAATCCTAATTAATGAATGTTTAATGTTCAAAAACATGTTTTGGGAAAAATATCCTAAAGTTTCAGAATTCCTTCCTTCCTTCCTTCCTTCCTTCCTTCCTTCCTTCCTTCCTTCCTTCCTTCCTTCCTTCCTTCCTTCCTTCCCTCCTTCCTTCTTTCTTTTTCATTTGAGAGAGAGAGAGAGAGAGAAGAGAGAGAGAGCATGAGCAGAAGAGAGGGGCAGAGGGTGAGAGACAGAATCCAAAGCAGGCTCTACTCAGCACAGAGCCTGATACAGGACTTGATCCAAAGACCTTGGGATCATGAGCTGAGCTAAAACCAAGAGTCAGATGCTCAACCAAGTGAGCCACCCAGGCATCCCGAGAATTCTTTCTTTGAACGTAATATGTCAAATTAATTCAAAGTAATTTCAAAAGAAAAGGAAAGACAGCTAGGGTGATTAAGAAATCAAGTAATTATTGAAAACTGAAAGCAAGTTTTTGCAAGTTTGAAACTCAAGAGGACAGCATATTTTGAAAGGGATCATAATTCACTCATGTTAGGCCTTTCTATTTTAACTACCTATATGCAACCATTAAGGGCAGACTTTCAAATGAGGTGTGCCCTCCATGAGTCCTCATTTAGACTGTTCTCATGGAAGATGAATGTTCCAACACTTTCCTTCAGTGTGGGTGTTCATGGTTCAATGTCTGTTGTTTAGCACATAGAAATCCTTGAAGCCTTGGATTGAAAAGAAATTAGATATTGTAGGTAAGACTGTTAAGACAAATTTTGAATTAAGTTTGTGGTTCAAATGCTACTATGAAACAAAAATGTGAAGTTATTTTCAGAAAGGTATGTCTTCTGTAATTCTAGAGAATTAGATAAATAAATTCAAAGTAGATACAAGCAATAGAATAAGTTTATGTTTGAATATTTATGGCATGGGGGGTTGTGGGAATATTTCCAATGTGAATAATATATTGAAGATTAGTTAATGTAAATATTCTGCTATTCATCTCTCATCGAATTGTTATAATTCTTTTGTCCTATTTTTGGAGAAAATTTGCCACCAGTTTATCCATGGCAGCTGAAGGAGCTTTAAAGTTAAGAGAACCACTGGTGTTTGCATGCGTGTGTGTGTGTGTGTGTGTGAATTATCAATTATTTATTTATGCAAGGTATTTTGTCTGCCCTCTAAGCATTCTTTTCTCCTTATCTTACTCTGTTTTGGGTAACTTGAATGTCTATCAGTGCAATAGCACTATTTTAATCCAACTAAAATCTGAGGGAGAATGACATTTTTTTTGGCTTTTGTCTGAACTTGATTTTGAGGTTTCTGCTTAATGAGCACACACTTTTTAAGTTTTAAAGCAAGGAAATACACTTGTGTATATTTTGCATTAAATGCCAAAAATCCTTTATATATGTCATAGACTAAACCTAAGCGTAGGCCATTAGTTATTAAGCAATTATATTTATATCATATTTATACCATATATCACTTATTTATAATATATGAATGTTTTATGTTGTGTGAAGATACTATAGCTCCTTCCTGGTTCATCTCTATGATGAAATTTCCTGCATAGTATTGTAGAGTATGGAGTGTGACACAACTCAAATGAGTAGAAACAGTTATCAATTCATGACTATTATCCCACCTCAACCCACTTATTATATTATTTCTCCTCATGGAACTCCCTCATATCCCATTAAATAATTAAAGAGAAGGGTTGATTTATTTTGCTTTCCTGTATCTATAATGACCTTAAGAGAGGAAGGCAAGAAGGGAAACAGAATGTTGATCCTGTTAATAACTGCATGCAGTCTTTAATGATGGTTTGCTGGAGCAAGAAGAGAGAGCTCAATAGTCTTCTTCCTTAGCAGGCCCCTTGGGGTGGGGAGAGCACTCCAGGTTGGACCTAAAAAGCATCCCTTTGTTCTCAGCAGGTGCCAGATTGCTCTGACATATTGCCCATGTATACGTTTGCAAGTGCGTGTGTGTGTGTCACATGCACAGAATTTGCCTTTATAGAGAAACGAAATATCAGGTAAACCTTGCAGGGAGAATCAGATCATGCTACTCTGTCTGGTATGATCAATATGCTTCCTTTCAAAGAACACATAAATGCATACACCCTAACTGTCTCATAGTATTCTAGCATTGAGAATCCTTCCAAGATTCCTTTTCATTGAGTACTCTATATATTATTTATATATTTTACAAAATTTAAAAATAAATTCACAGTATACTGTGAATATTGATAACAAGTTTTATACTTTGTGTAATACCACTTGGGTCCAAAGGTTGTGAAATTCTTCTAAATGTTTTTCTTTTCCTTCCTTAAAAATTTACCACTATATCATGTTTGGGTAAAATGGTATTTTTGCTTTGATTTGGCTTTGTGTAAAATGAGCTGTTACCTACTCAGGACAATCAGTGCCTTAATGTTTAACTCCTCTCTGAAGCTTTGCTAGATGTTAGTTATTCATTCCCTTATTCATATAACATGTACATATTAAATACTCACACATGAAGTCTGTCCTTTCCCAGTAGAAAACTTGAACTTCTACTCCTGATGTATACGGTCACTCTTGCATCTTCTATGAACAAAAGCTCTGCAGAAAGCAAGCAAATAGATAAACAAAGAAACAATAGCTCCAACATTCCATTTGTTGAATTTTATACTATTATTGTACTATTGCTGTCTTTCCCTAACCCACATTAATTTTGTTAAATTGCTTTTTTGTTTTTTATTTATTTTGAATATCTATATTTTTTGTTGAAGTATAGATGACAGACAATATTACATTACTTTCAGGTGTATAACGTAGTGACTCCAAAAGTCTATATATTATGCTATATTTACCATAAGTGTAGCTACCATCTCTCACCATATAACACTATTACAATACCATTGACTATATTCTCTATGCTGTGCCTTTAATCACATGAATTCTTCATTCCATAAGTGAAAGCCTATACCTCCCACTCCCCTTCACCTATTTGCCCATCCCCCACTCCTTCCTCTGTCAACCGTCAGCTTCTCTGTATTCACAGGTCTGATTCTGCTTTTGATTTGTTTTAGTTCTTAGATTTCACATGTAAGTAAAATAATATGGTATTTGTCTTTCTTTATCTGTCTTATTTCACTTAGCATAAGTCCATGTTGTTGCAAATGGCAAGATTTCATTCCTTTTTATGGCAGAGTAATATTCCATTGTCTGTATATACCACATCTTCTTTAGTCACTCATCTATCAATGGAAACTTGGGTTGCTTTTACATTGCCTCATTGGATGTCTATTACACTGTTAACACACACCTCTCAGATGTTCATGGAGTAGGAGGTCCTTCATAAAGCCTTCGGTTGCTAATATACTCTGCTATTATGATTAAGCCTCTTTGGAAAGTAGACTCAGAAGCTCATAATGATGGAAACCTCCTGCACTCGTCTCCTGGGGCTGCTGTAACAGAGTACCACAGATGGGGAGGGGGAGGGGGGCTTAAACAACAGAAATTTATTATGTCACAGTTCTGAAGGCTGGAAGTCCGAGATCAAGGCATTGTCAGGGTTTGTTTCTTTTGAGAGTTGTCGGGAAAAATATGCTGCATGC